ATATATATCTGTACCACATGTATAAAGTCCCTGCAGAGATTAGAAGAAGGTACCAGATCCCCTGGAACTGGAGTTACAGATGGTTGTGAGCTTCCTTGTGGGTTCTGGGACCCAAACTGAGGTCTTCTGTAAAAGCAGCCAGTGCTCTTAACCACTGGGCCAGCTCTCTAGCCCCATGTTTTTTCCCTTAAAATAATATAGAATTTTTTAGAATTAGGATTTTGTTAAGTATTTTTCTTAAAAGAACCTCTCCGCTGACGCAAATAATCCCAATCAGACCGAATTAAAAGACACCCATGTTTAATAGATGACCTTACTCCTGGGTGGCCCCGGGAAAACATGGAGAGGGGAAGAAAGAGAAGGGGAGACCATGTGTTCATTCTCTGGGGGCAGTTTAAATAGCCTGTGGGAGTGGTCTTGACCTTCCCTAGGAAGGGGTCACCCTTTGGTGGGCTTTCTTGGAGGTGGAGTTTGGACTGAGGCAACTTCCAGGGGAGGAAGCTTATGCCAGAAGCTGGGGTAAAGCCCCCAGGCAAACATCCAGACTCTTTGTATAAGGGGGTGTTAGGGAGCTGAGGTGATGCTTCCCACCAAACAGATTTCTCTTGATTTCCTCATGGGTAGTGGCGGGTTTAACTGTTGTTTTGAGTACTGCCTGGGTCCTGCACGTACGATTGTATCCCGTCGTTGCTTTTTGCCTCCCTTAGGATAGAGGTGAGGGAAGTAGTTTCAGTGATGCCGGCTTGCATCTGTCTTCAGGGGCCGCTTATCCACTAGGGTGAGAGCTAGCTAGAAGCCTCATCAGCTGAACGCTAGATGTTGGTGTCCCCAGAGAGACCAGTTTCACACAACCTTCCCAGTCTCCTTTCCCTTAGCCCTCCCTGAAGTCAGTTTCCTGTGCTCAGTGTTGGGGACTCATTGGCCATGCTGAGTGAGAAACAAAGGCAGGAGCTGTTGGCTTGTGTGGGAAACTCTTATTCCATAATGTAGAAGTCTGATTATTAACGAGACCTCATTTCAGGCATTGAGGTTCTTATTTTCATGGGAATGAAAAGAGAAGCAGGATTTGGTCCCTGCCCTGTGGCTGGTATCGCCATCTGTCAGGATGGAAGGAGCTGAGGGGGAGGAGCTTGGACGAGCACACAGAGAGAGGCTCTGCACCCTTTAGCCTCTTCTGAGCCTGAGAGCCTAGGTGCCACCTGGTTGGTCACCAAACGGTACAAGGGAGGGTCTCTGCCACGTGAGACTGCACAGGTGGGTGACCTAGGAGTGGAAGGGCTTCAGTGTGGTTTCTGTTCCAGGCTGATTGTGTGGAGTCCACTCAGCTTCAAGATGGCAGTGGTAAGGCCAGGCGTATGGTGCACACCTGAGAGCCCAGCACTCAGGAGGCAGGCAGGCAGGCGGGTCTCTATGAGTCTGGCCATGTAGAAAGACCCTGTATCAAAATAAAATAGAATAAAATAGAAGAAAGACCTTGTCTCAACTGCCACCTACTCAAAAAAAAAAAAAAAAGGTGTGTTTTGAAAGTGGCTATTTAGATATTGACAAAGAGCCTCCTCCCTCTGCCATTTCTGGGTAGGTTCCTAGTTTGCTCTTTAAGAAGAGCTGTAGTTTGTCTCAAAAAATAATAAAGGAAAAACAAAAAACAAAAAAGTAGTAGTTTGGAGCCTCATGTCCTTATTTTCTTGGTGTGTCAGTGATAGAATGTGCAAGGCTCTCTCCCTCCTTCCGTCCCTCCCTTTCTTTTTTCACTTTTTTGAGATAGGGTTTCTCTGTGTCTCCCTGGCTATTCTGGAACTCGCTCTGTAGATCAGACTGGCCTTGAACTCACAGAGATCCACCTGCCTCTGCCTCCCCAGTGCTGGGATGAAAGGTGTGCGCTGACACTGCCCAGCCCCATTTCTAGAGCAGGGCTTTTAGCATCACTGGGAGCCGAGCATGGCAGCTCTTCCCTGAACCCCTTGCTCACTCAGTCGGGCCTCCTGAGGTATGTCTGTGGAGTGATCTGAGCAGGTAAACGAACTCCCAGACGCTGTTGTGGTGACATGTGCACGGAGAGACAGTTCTGGGTGACATGTGAGATTCTGGCTGTCACGGAGCTCAGGGTGCATTTGAATGGAGGAGAGAATGAGCCCATGGGAAGCTAGACCTGTAAGCACCGCAGTGCCACGTGCAGGCTCCCCTCCTGCCAAGCCGTCCTCACATGACTCCCTGGGTTTCTGAACACGGGACTCATTGCTGTCGGCACTTCCTCCCTCCGTTCCTCAGCAGGCTGCCCTGTCCCTAAGGAGGACTTCACCAGCGATAAGGACCTATGTGTCCTTGTGTCCCTGATCATTGCAAGCTCCCCTCCATTCTCTGACCCTTGGGATACCTTGCAGTTCCCTGTCTTTTCAGAACGTGCTATTCCTCACTGCTGACTGTAATCAGCTCTCTGGGTCCCTGAACTAATGAACCAAGGCCTGTCCTGTGTGTCTGTACACCACTGCACCACCAGGCTGGTGTCCTGGACCCTCTGCAGGGTGCTGCTCACTCCCTGCCTGCTCTTCCTGCACGGTCCCTTCTGACCATGCTTTCAGATGGAAATGACCTGCAGTTTCACAAAGAGCAATCGTCATGATCCAGGAAAGCCTGGACTGAGTCGAGCTGTAGCCATAACCCAGGCAGAGGGGTCGATCCTGCTGTATTCAGGGCTGAGGTCACCAGCATTCAGGTGGGTGGGCCTGGCGGGGTGAGTGCCTTTGCTTCCCAGCACGCTGGTGCTTTGGGGCTGCACTTGGTTGCAGAAAGTCTAAGCAGCTAATGTATTTCCGTAACAAATGTCACATGTTTCCTCCTGAAATCTGCTTTTGGTTGTGGTTAATTAGAGACATTGCCATAACTCCCTCTCCCTATTTTTAGTTAAATCTTACAGAGGCTTGGCACCTGCCAGTCTTGTGTGTTATCTGTAGTACCTTCTTCATAGAGGGCAGACGGCAGAGCAAGTGTGGGCTTTCCCAAGCCTGGTTATTACCTCCAGCAGTGTCCGTAGTTCTCCAGTCTCTGATGTAGCTACAAATGTTTTCAGTCCCCTGGTCCCCTGGACTGGGTTTTTTCCGCCCGCCTGTTCCTGAAGTGGGTTAATTTAAGATGTAAGAGCTAGCTAGAGATACGCCTGAACCATGGGCCAAACAGTGTCTAATTAATATAGTTTCTGTGTGATAATTTGGGTCTCAGCGGCTGGGAAACAAAAGTATAGTTTCTGTTTACACTCTAGATTGCTGCAGAGTCAATGACATCTGGTGCTTAGATACTTTTGTAGAGTTCATCAGTGATGTACAAGCCTTTCTTTCCCTGAATTTTTGTTTTGAGATCGTTGATTCATAAGATATTAAAATAATACTATGGTGAGCTCCTATGAGCTCTTCAGATGTGTTTCCACCATGGGAATGCCTTGCAGAATTACGGTCCATCAGCAATGTCAGGTCTCGCTTACTGTGCATTGGCAGGGGGGGGCGTCACCCTGACAGCCACGCCTTCTTCTCCACTTCCTAAAGCCCCTCCCACCCTTTGGTTTTCCGTTGCTGTAAGTTTGTCTTTTCATGAATGGTACAGGGCCATCATTAGTTACATAGTTAGTTTGAGGCTAACCTGGGTCAAAGCAAACAGTTCAAGTGGATTCCTGTGGGTGTGGCTGTTTAGATTGTGGACAGTGTGTGTGCAACCATAAGGCCATTCCTTTTCATGCGTGTGTGCTTTCTGGAGGACGTGGTAGTTGCTGCTTTGAGCTTGTATGTATATGGCCCTACTGCTTCTGGGTCAGATGGTGGCTTCATGTTCAGGGTTCGGTTTTGAGAACCATGTCTGCTCTCCAGATTGGTGGCATCAATTCACATTCCTACCAGCAGTGTCTGAAGGTTCTTCTCTCCATAGCTTTCTCAGTATTAGCGTGTGCTGTTTGTGTCCATCTGATGGCACACAGTGTACGGCACGGTGATGGTGGCCTGTGTCTTCCAGTGACTAATCTCTTTGCTTCCCGTTTCTGTGTGGGGCTGTCTGCATGTGTCTACGCTCCTTGCTAGCTCCTGCTTTTCCCTGTTTTTGAGATGATGTTGTCACTGCTTAGCCCAGTCTGTACAAGAACTCATAATCCGGGGCTGGAGAGATGGCTCAGAGGTTAAGAGCATTACCTGTTCTTCCAAAGGTCCTGAGTTCAATTCCCAGCAACCACATGGTGGCTCACAACCATCTGTAATGGGGTCTGGTGCCCTCTTCTGGCCTGCAGGCATACACACAGACAGAATATTGTATACATAATAAATAAATAAATAAATATTGAAGAAAAAAAAAAGAACTCATAATCCTTCTGCCTCCACCTTTTAGATGTTGGGGTTCCTGGCATACAACATAATGCCTAGCTTTTGCTCATGTTCTGATTGGATTTTGATTATTGAGAGGATTTTTGTTTTGTTTTAGATCATGGAAAATATTTAACAAAAAAAGAGCATCCTAATTTTTTCCTTCCTTAGAATTTTCACACTTGTCAAAAATGGTTTAGGTAGAACCTGAGGTGCAGTTCAGTCAACCCTCAGCATGTGCTGCCCTGGGCTCATCCTCTCACCCAGAAGGAAGAGGGAGCGAGCTGGTGTGTCTGGGTCTGTCTGCCCACTGGTCTTCTGTCTCTCCCAACAGCGCTGCATGGCCCCAATGCCGGGCCGAGGGAATCCTCCCCGTCTGTTGTTAGCTTTGATGGTTCTTTTGCCTTCCACATAGATTCGAAAGTTGTCTTTCATTTAATAACTACAAAAAGAACCTGCTGGGGCTGGGCACTGTGTTGAACTTGCATACCCATGTGGGCAGAATTGCCATCCTCTCCGCCAAGGCTTCTAGTCCATGAACTTGGATCTTTCCCCGCTTCCGGAAGATCTGGTGTGCTGCAGGCTGTGAACAAAACGCTTTCTGTCTAAGGGCGCAGCAGTGACGGCTGCCATTTCCTTTCTATCGCTGCTGTTTGTCCACAGGCCTATGAGAGGAGGTTCCCCACATGTCCTTTGATCCCAATGTTCGTGGACAGTGACACCGTGAGCGAATTCAAGAGTGAAGATGGGGCTATTCATGTCATTGAGAGGCGCTGCAAGCTGGATATCGACGCTCCCAGGCTGTTGAAGAAGGTACTGGCCACGGACACTGTACAGGCGGGTGGACCCATGCTCACCCAGAGCTGTTAGCAAACGCTTTTTCTTCTTGTCTCTTCTTAAAGATTGCAGGAGTCGATTATGTTTATTTTGTCCAGAAAAACTCCCTGAATTCTCGAGAGCGCACTTTGCACATCGAGGCGCACAACGAGACGTTTTCTAACCGGGTCATCATCCACGAGCACTGCTGCTACACGGTGAGTCGTGACCCCGGTCTCGGGCTCCGAGGCCACGTGCGACCACTGTTGAAACAGGATGGCTCTTGGTGTTTTCACCAGCTGCTGCTTCTCCTTTGGGATGAGCGGCACAGTTGAGGAGTGGTGTAGCACGCTGTATCCTTGTGACAGTCGGGGCTGCCAGCTGATGCCGTGACTGTTGTTTCTAAGGCAGGGACTCGCTCTGTGCCCCCGTCTTGAAAGTTGCCATGTAGACCAGACTAGCCTTAACTTGCCGCTCTCCTCTTGCCTTGTCTCCTGAGTGCTGGGTTATAAGTGTGCACCGTCGCACTCGGCTGAGTGCTGGGTTATAAGTGTGCACCGTCACACTCGGCTGAGTGCTGGGTTATAAGTGTGCACCGTCGCACTCAGCTCTGGATTAGATTGTATTTTTTGAAGCAGGGTCTCACCAAGTAGCCCAGGCTGGCCTGAATTCATCCTGTAGCCCAGGATGGACTGGGATTCACAGAGGCCCACCTGCCTCTGCTTCCCAAGTGCTCAGACTAAAGGCAAGTGAGTAGTACAAGGCCAGCTTCCTGACTGGTTTTAAGTATGAAGTTGTTTGTCTTTTTCCTGGCCCAGCTTCTTGACTCTAGTTGTGTGTTTGAAGCCAGGGTTTGAGTGTCCTTGAGTGTAGAGCTCTGACCATCTGTCTGTTGTGGTCCTCACTGCATATACTTACTTCAGGAACTTCTTTCTCAGAGTGTGAGAGATGCCCTTCCTGGTCCCTGCTTCAGCGGTTAGCCTCCTGCCCTGTCCTCCACACAGAGTCCACACATGTCACACTTGTCTTCCCTTGGTTCAAGCCCACAACCTCCTCTCCTGCAGAGGAGCCCAGAGCCCTCACAGACACCTGTCTGTCCCTCCTTCCCACTCCTTGCTGTGCCCTGCAGCCAGCTATGTCCCTTCTCTAGCCTTCAGCCCCACGGAAGCTTCTCCATAGTGTTCCTGTGACCTTCCCATCTGTCTGTGGCTTATCTGTCTCTCCGGGCTCGAGCGACACACAGTGTGGCTCTCTCTGGGAGCCCGAGCAGCACACAGTCTGGCTCTCTCCGGGAGCCCGAGCAGCACACAGTCTGGCTCTCTCTGGGAGCCCGAGCAGCACACAGTGTGGCTCTTTTTCTTTTTTTTTTTTTTCTTCTTTTAGTTTTTCAAGACAGGGTTTCTCTGTAGCTTTGGAGCCTGTCCTGGAACTAGCTCTTGTAGACCAGGCTGGCCTCGAACTCACAGAGATCCGCCTGCCTCTGCCTCCCGAGTGCTGGGATTAAAGGCATGCGCCACCACCGCCCGGCCCGTGGCTCTTTTTCTGTCCATGTTCAGCATCACAGGAGCTGGGTGAGTGGATGAAGGGCTGGAGCTGAAAGGCTCTGTGTGTGTTTGTCATTTCCAGAAAGTTGTGAGGTTGTGATGAGGGCCTTGGAGTGTCTGAGTCCATCTGGGCAGTTTTCTGCCCTGCCTTTCTCCTTCCCCACGACAGTGACACCATTAAACTTGCTTCTTCTGGGTACTGGTCAGCTAGCTGGGGAGCGGATGTGATGCCTCCATTGCGAGCGCAGTAATGGGATTGGGTTCTCTGCCTGCAGGTTCACCCTGAGAACGAAGACTGGACCTGCTTTGAACAGTCTGCAAGTTTAGATATCAAATCCTTCTTTGGTTTTGAAAGTACAGTGGAAAAAATTGCCATGAAACAATATACCAGCAACATTAAAAAAGTGAGTGTCTTTCTTGGGATTTTATGGAAAAGGAGGCGGCAGTCTCTGAGAGAGTGACCACAGCCTGGTTGTCTTTTAGTTTACTGTTTACTTGTTGAGACAAGATTTTCCTAGTTCAAACAAACTCCTAATTGTCTTGCTTCAGCCTCCCATGTGTCAGGGTTATGGGTGTTTCCACTGCTCTCAGTGAGAATTATTTTGGGGGTGAACAGGTGAGGGGTTGGGGGATTGAACTCACTTGGGGTCATGTGTGTGCTAAGTTAGCAGTCCGCCACAGAGCTGTGTCCACAGCCCCCAGATTCTGGTTTGGGGAATGTCTTAGAAGCTGGTGAGGGTGAGATGTCTGGGTGGTGGATGCATGCTTACAGGATACCTGTCTTGTCTCGAAGGGAAAAGAAATCATCGAATACTACCTGCGGCAGCTGGAGGAGGAGGGCATCACCTTTGTGCCCCGGTGGACCCCGCCCTCTCTGCAGCCCTCATCAGAAACACTGTCATCAAGCAAGAGTCAAGCCACATCTTCTGCTGTCCTTGTCCCAGATGCTGCTGCCCTCAAGGAGGGGCTGAGTGGGGAAGGCATCAGCAGCCCAGGCCCAGCATCTGAGCCTGTGGTAGGAACCCCTGACGGTGAGCCTGGCATAGTCTGGGGACCCGGGGCCTCTCTCCTCCCCACGGCTCTGTCTGTGACAGTCGGCCTTGCACAGAAGAGAAACCCATCCATGTCTGACCGTGTTTTCTGAGCCTCCCACTTAGAGAGCACATCTGTTTTATTCTTGTTCGTTAAATGGAAGTTATTTCTAGTTGTCCACTGATTTGGACCAGGAAGTGTTTTCCGTGTGTTTTGATTGATGATAGTGACAGCGTTTTCGTCACCCAGGTCCTATGCCCTCCTCTGCGCAGCTCCCACTCTCAGCCCCAGGGACCAGTCGGCTGCCTCAGTTCATGTCTATGTTTGCTGGGCACAGCGCAGTTGAGTGGTCACACGCTAGTGACAGGGATGGGCCAGGGTTTGTGTACAGTTTTCTGTGTGCTAAGCACATATATATGTATATGTATGTATTTATTTATTATGTATAAATAATTCTGTCTCTATGTATGCCCCTATACCAGAAGAGGGCGCCAGATCTCATTACAGATGGTTTTGAGCCACCATGTGGTTGCTGGGAATTGAACTCAGGACCTTTGGAAGAGCAGCCAGTGCTCTTAACCACTGAGCCATCTCTCCAGCTAAGCACATATATAAAAACACAAGTTTTTAATTTCTAGTTATAGAAAGTTTAGAAAATAGGGGGGAAATCAGAAAACATTGTTAAGATAATGGTGTCTATCATTCTTTTGTTCTGCTTGCCTTTGGACAGTCAGCTGGGGAAAGAGATTCGGGGCTGTGCGTTTGAACTCAGGCCCCATGTTGAAGATGAGTGTGCATTGTATCTATTAAGCCATCAGCCTGTCCTTGTAGTACTGAAATTACAGGCGGAGGAGGCTCGGAACCCGCCTGTGTTTATCGGGGATCTGATCTTAAAGACCGCTTACTTACCTGTGGTTATCAGTGATGCCTCCCTAAAGGCTGCCCAGGACAGTTGCTGCCTTGCCCCGCCCCCACTCCAGCCTCACTGAGAGAAGGGTTCTTTCTCTGTGGAAATAACGCCATGTACCTTAAATTCCAGACAAGCTAGATGCCGACTACATCAAGAGATATTTGGGTGACCTGACCCCGCTCCAGGAGAGCTGCCTCATCCGACTGCGCCAGTGGCTCCAGGAGACGCACAAGGGCAAAGTGAGTGCTAGCTGCTGTCAGCGCTGCTGACCGTGGATCCTGCAGGCTCTGGTCTCACTGGAGGCTACAGAGTAAAGATCTTGCCATGTCTGTTGACCTGTTCCTCCCACCCGAAATACCACGAGTGTGTCTGTGGTGCCAGATCCTCATGGCAGGCTTAAGATGCCTTCCACAGGCAGGTAGCTATGTTCCCTGTGTTTCACAGAGAAAGGTCTAGCTTAGAACCCACGACATGCCAATCAGTAGAACATAGTGTCTGTCTGTGTTGAGGAGCTGGAGCGTGGTTTTTTTTTTTTTTTTTTTTGGTTTTTCGAGACAGGGTTTCTCTGTGGTTTTGGAGCCTGTCCTGGAACTAGCTCTCGTAAACCAGGCTGGTCTCGAACTCACAGAGATCCGCCTGCCTCTGCCTCCCGAGTGCTGGGATTAAAGGCGTGCGCCACCACCGCCCGGCTGCTGGAGCGTGTTTTAAAGTGTTGGCCTTATACAAAGAAATCCTCTTCTCTGTGACACTCTAATACACGTATGTCATTATACTTTGTTATTCAGGAGAATGTCGCCTGCCCTCCCATCACAGTGGAGCTTTGATTCTGAGATTGGGGGAGACCCTAGTCCCACAGGAGTGAGGTTTATAAAAAACAGGCCAGATAAAGGGAGCTGGGCATCATGTGTGGCTTGCCTGGTCCCATGGGCCTGGTTGCCTGGGTTTACAGCTGCATATCGCCAGTTGTTAGGGAAGCAGCCACAGAGGAGCAGCTGCCCTGGACAGCTGTGTAGTGGCTGCTCCAGCTCCTACTGTCCTGTGGTCTAAGCAACCAGGCAGTGAGGGCTCAGGCAAGTAACTGAGGCCTTGGGGCTGCTGCATGATAAAGCAGGATTGCAGCTCAAGCCACTTGGTTCCAGCACCCACAGTCCTGTTCTGTCCCCTCACCTCCGTTTTGATTTTAAAAGAAATGTAGGTAACCAGCTTATTAGGGCGAGAAGTTCTGTTTATTTAAATCTTTATTTTATTTATTTATGTGTGTGAATGTTTTTCTTGCCTGTGTATGTGTGTACCATGTGCATGCAGTGTCCGTAGAGGCCAGAAGAGGGCATCACATTCCATGGGACTGGAGTTCGAGATGGTTGTGAGCCTCCCTGTGAGAGCTGGGGATTGAACCTGGGTCCTAGGGTGCCCCTACCTGCTGATCTGTCTCTTCGGCCCTACCCTCTCCCCCACTTTCTTTTTTGGGAGAGTCTTATTGTAGCTTCAAACTTTAAAAAAGATCTCTTAAAAAATTTATTTTATGTTTATGGGTGTTTTGCTTCCATGTATGTCTACATAGCATATTTAACCTCTGATCTGTATCTCCAGTCCCAAATAGTAGAGAACTTTTGATCCTTTTGTGCCAGCCACCCAAGCTCTGGGATTATGTGTGTGCACCCTGCTCCCTGCCCCACTCCAGCACCCACATTCTTAATCACCTCTGTGTAACTAATTCTTTTCAGATGATTGATGCCACATCCGCGGCCTGGCTTTGCCTCACATGGCCAGGAATGCCGTGAGTGGCTGTTGTTCTCATTCACTTCCTGGCCCCTGATTGTCCCACAGCCCTAGTTCATGAGTCTCTAGCCTTGAGGATGATAGCTGGCCCAGAGCAGGCTGGGAACAGCCTCAGCTTTCCTCTTTATCCAGGCGAGCGTCCTATGGATGAGAACATTCTGGCAAGCATCCTAGAGAACATTCCGGTGTGACAGTACCACCATCTTGTCCACATCAGCTCTTGAAGTATACTGTGTACAGAAAAGTGATCTTGCTACAATTCACCCAGAGCCCAGAGTGTGCGTGGGGCTGGGACTGGATGTTTAAGAAGTCTGTTTACAACTGGTTGTGGTGGTGTATGCCTTTAATCGAAGCAGAGGCAGACGGGTCATTGTGTCTGGTCCACATAGTGAGTTCCAGCCAGAGTGAGACCCTGCCTTTGCCTTAAACAAGCAGAGGTCAGTTTGCTTCCTCCTTACTTTGCTCAGCTGAAGTCGGGGCGGATTTCCCAGTTCTGCTTTTTTTATGACACCAGTGGTAACTTTTCTGGCAACTTTTTTGGTGGCATGAGGGATGGACCTGCTAGAAAAGCTTTCTACTCCATGCTGTGCTCCACCTAGGAATGCTGCTCCTCGGCATTATGAACAGTGTGGCTCACTGTTGGCAGTAGGTAGGTGTCTTAAGTAGGGTTTCTGTTGCTCAGAAGAGACACCATAACCATGGCAACTCTTATAAAGGAAAAACATTTAATTGGGTGGCTTATAGTTTCAGAGGTTTAGTCCATTATCATCATGGTACAACATGGAGTTCAGGCAGACATGGTGCTGGAGAAGGGGCTGAGCTGAGAGTCCTAACATCTTGATCCATAGGCAACAGGAAGTGAACTGTCTCACTGGGTGTGGCTTGAGCATACGTGAGACCTCAAAGTCTATCTCCACAGTGACACACCTCCTCCAACAAGGCCACACCTCCCAGTAGTGCCACTCTCTATGAACTTATGGGGCCAATTACATTCAGACTACCACAGTAGGTAGACTTTCCCCCAGCACCTCCCACATAGCCTGGAAATCTCTCTTCTCCTAGATCCCGAAGGATGAGCATATTCTCCGGTTTCTGCGTGCCCGGGATTTTAATATTGACAAAGCCAGAGAGATCATGTGTCAGTCTCTAACTTGGCGGAAGCAGCACCAGGTGGATTACATCCTGGATACCTGGACTCCGCCCCAGGTCCTTCAGGATTACTACGCTGGAGGCTGGCATCACCATGACAAAGGTGGGGTGAACCTGACGTGGCCACAGCTCTGTGCTTGTGTCACCCTGTACCACGTGACTGCTGGTGTGGCTAGAAGACCATCACCCAAGTCTGGACAGCCAGACTGGGACGTGGTTCTCAGGAGAGCACTGCAGGGTGTGGCACAGCTCAGTAGCACAGTAGACAGAGCTACCTGGCCCAGTCTCCTGCTGCAGACGGTGCAGAAGGGCTCACTGAGGGCCGAGGCCCAGCACCAGGGCATGCCAGCCACCCCTGGAACCTCCCCCAGCCCCTCACCCGCCTCAGCCTTGTGGGAGGATACGCTGTGTCGACTGACCTGGCTGCTGACCTAGAGCCTGCCAGCTGTGCAGGGTGGCACTGTGCTCACGCAGATGTGACAGGACGCTAGAAAATGTGCTCCTCCCCCCGCTGAACATGTCCTTTCAGATCAGCAAGTCCTGAAAACCTTGTATTTTACTTTGGGAATGTAGGTCTCCAGATTAATTATAGCTTTATTAATTTTTGCTTTTGTTTTTATTTTTTGGGATAAGGTCTTGTACTGTAGCCCAGGCTAGCCTTAAACTCTCTTAAATAGCTAATAGGAGCTTTTAACTCACCTTTTTGTTTTGTTTTTAATATTGTATATAATTGAGTAACTTCTGGGTTTCTGTTTGACATTGGGTCTCTTTATGTAGCATAGGCTAACCCTGAACTCTAGATCCTCTTACATTAGGATCCTGAATACAGAGACACAAGACTGTGTACTTTGATGTCCATTACTTTATTAATTTTTGCTGAAAATATAATATTTATTTTTATTCCACTTTGTGGCTCAACTCTTGAAGGTTAAGAAGTTTTGGTAATAAGATCTTGACAGACCAGCTGTGGTGCCTCATGCCTCTAATCCATCATTTAGGAGGCAGGCAGGCAGGTAGTGAATCCAGTCTGGACAACACAGTGAGTTCCAGGATAGCCAGAGTTACAGCTGAGACCCTGTCTCAAACAAAAGATTTTTAAAAAAAAAAAAAATGTGTTTTTCTAAATGTCAGTAGAGTCAGGTGTGTTGGAGTTTGTAATCCCACCCCTTGAGAGGCAGAGGCAGGCTGATCTCTGTGAGTTCGAGGTCAACTTCATCTCTGGAGCAAATTCCAAGCCAGCCAGAACTACACAGTGAGATATGGGCTGCAGGTGATGTTCCCCAGGGGTCAGGTGTTGGTCCCAGGCAGGATGACAGCCGACCTGGTGTGTTGAGGATGCTGGCCTGGGTCCAGGGTCACGAGTGTAGGGTGTGCTCTGGCCTGCGATTGTCTGTACTCTTGTGGGTGATGACAGATTCTATCATGAGTTAGGTGCTCTGTTCACTGGCCCTCTGGGCTAGGGAGCCATAGACCCAGCACGTGTTGGCTGTGGTACATAGTGGGTTTCCAGATGTGTGTCCTTAGGAAGGAAGGCTGACTTTTTTTTTAATATTTATTTGTTTGTTTGTTTGTTTATTTATTATGTATCCAATATTCTTTCTGCGTTATGCCTGAAGCACTAGACCTCATTACAGATGGTTGTGAGCCACCATGTGGTGGCTGGGAATTGAACTCAGGACCTCTGGAAGAGCAGGAAATGCTCTTAACCGCTGAGCCATCTCTCCAGCCCAAGGCCGACTTTTTAAAAATCTTGACAATAACTTCTTAATAATTTATGGAAAAATTGTTTCATAATTTAAAAAAGCCTCTGTGTTCATAGAAAATATGTGGCTATGCTGACGTCCCCTGCAGTGAACACTGAACTCAGCAGCAGCCATGGTTATTCATGTCGGGGAGCCAGGCGGCTGCACCCAGCTCAGTCCCACTTGGCCTGGCCCAGCCCAGCAGTGTGGGCCCGGGTCCTGTCAGTTGCTATCAGCTGACTTGGTTGCCCTTTCCCATGGCATCCTTACACAGAAGCTAGTCTCCCTTTGCTCCTCAGAGTAGGCCAGGGCTCCACGTGTTTTCTTGCTTCCCTGGGCAGCCTTTCTGTGCTATGCCAGGGACAAACACAAGGTCTCACAGGAGGAACCTCTGGCCTGGTGCTGCTCCCTGGCCCTTGTGAGTCCTCGCAGAGCCATGCCCTGCCACTCACCCCAGCCTCCTCCTTGCCTCTCTGCAGACGGGCGACCGCTGTACGTGCTCAGACTGGGGCAGATGGACACCAAGGGCTTGGTGCGAGCCCTCGGAGAGGAAGCCCTGCTGCGATACGTGAGTGTTACGGGGAACACTGGACTGCGTGCTGGCTTCATGCTTGCTACCAGCAGGACTGAGGCATCGTAGCTGGCTACTGGGACAAGTACGCATGCCCTACGCTTGGGGAGATGTGTTCTGCAGAAAGGCTTCTGAGGAGGACACACAGCGCAAGCCCCAGGAGACGGTTCCCACGTCACACCTCCTGCCAGATCTCTTTCTGTTGAATCTTCCCTTTTACAGGCTGATGGCCCCTTTCTTAGGCTGCTGAGCTGTCACCTGATTCCAGGCCACCCCTGTATCTCCCCAAATCTGCTGCACCCCTGGCCCAGAGAAGAATCTGTTTTTTCAGTTTGAAAACAAACTAAGACATAAAAAAACAAACCCCATCTCCCCCAGTATTTATACCTCTTGTTTTGATGTGTATTCTTTTAGGTGCCTGTGCCCAGCCATGTGTGTTTTTACGTGTGCGCACACACACACACATACATACATTTACTGCTCTACCCAAGAATCCTTACACCCCCCCCAGCAGCTGTTTTCCCTGCCTCTGTCTTGGCTGATACGGGGAGACCAGGGTGTACCCACACTCCACACCCTTCTCCTCCTATCCAGAATAAGTCTGTCTGCAAATCCCCCCACGTCAGTTCTCCCTGCTCAGGTGACTCTGAACCGGTGTTTTCTTTGGCCTGCCTGCTTTCTCCTGTTGATGCTGCTGTTTACTGTCTGCAAGTGAAGCAGTCATTGTTGCCTTGTGGGGTGTGAAGAGGTGCCGTGGCCGTGTGTGGCTGTGTCTTGCTGCCTTAACCCCACTGTTAAGTTTGATGTTTCTTTGCCTTTGGATTGACCCTGGCCATCGTCATTTGCTTACAGGTTCTTTCCATAAACGAAGAAGGCCTAAGACGATGTGAAGAAAATACCAAAGTCTTCGGCCGGCCAATCAGGTTGGTGGGGCCTTATCTCCGTCCATATAAAGAACAGGAACTAAGTTCTTTTAGTTGATCTTTGGCACCACAGCCTGATAGCTGACTGTTTCCAAGTAGTCTGGAAGGTTGGAAAACAAGTGATAAGGTCAGTCCCAGGGGCAGTGCCAGGATCTCATATCTGTCAGCCCTGAGTTGCCGCTCTGTGGTCCTAGGAGCCAGGACCACGTGCGGTTTGCCCGTTGGACTTCTTCCCCCCACCCCCAGTTCTTCCTGATGAACCAGCTTCTAATTGTGGAATACTATTCTGAAAACGGGCAGAGAAAACTTTTAAAAGAAAAACACTTAGAAAAGCTAGGCATGATAGGTCACTCCTGTAATCCCAGTACTTGGGAAATGAGGCAGGAGGATAAGAGTTCAAGGCCAGCTTCAGCTTTGTACAATTCAACACCAGCCAGAGCTACATGAGACCCTGTCTCCGGTTGAGCAGCGTAGGTTCTGCCGGGCCAGGATGTTCAGGGTCCTGTTCACAGTGCCTGTCAGTTCCGGAGGCAGCGCTGTACCTGTGAGTACGGTCGTCCTTGCAGTTTACACTCCGTGTGTCAGTGCCAAGTGTCTGCCTTGGTGACAGGCTGGGGGGGCAGCATCAGGATGCTCAGCACTGAGCAGGTCTGAGGGGGCCTTTTCAGAGCTGGGGTCTCATTAGCCAGGCTGTCCTTGAACTCCAGATCCTCCTGCCTCTGCTTCCTGAGCCTTGGGATGTCAGCAGTTCATAGACTCGCTGTGCTCTGTCAGGACTTGGCCTTGTGGTTCAGGCTTTGCTCCTGTCATTGCCTGTCTGTGCTTCATGCACGCAGATAAGAGTGTGTGATTATATCAAAAGAAGAAAATGAAATAGGACGCCATTTGCCAAGTTACCATCTGTTACTAAGACACATCTTGGTTTTATCTGTAGCTCGTGGACCTGCCTGGTAGACCTTGAAGGACTGAACATGCGCCATCTGTGGAGACCTGGAGTCAAAGCCTTGCTGCGCATCATCGAGGTGGTGGAGGCTAACTACCCAGAGACGCTGGGCCGCCTCCTCATCCTCCGAGCTCCCAGGGTCTTTCCTGTCCTCTGGACACTGGTGGGTTTAGATGCTGTTCTGTAGCCATCGGGGCATGCTCAGTACCTGCCTCCCACTGAGGTCTCAGCTAGGCAGGAGAAAGCAAATAAACCCAGATATAAAGTGCTTCTGATTCTTAAAGAGGGAACTAGGTGGGATTTCCCTGAGGGACCTAGTGCTTTGCCAGGGATGTCACAGAGTGCCTGAGAGCTGCGACCCACCCGCCCCTCACCCGTGCGTGCTGTTGCGGTGCAGGCTTGATCCCCTGAACCGCAGCAGCAGATGACGTCACTGTTTTGTCTGATTGGTTTCAGGTTAGTCCATTTATTGACGACAACACAAGAAGGAAATTCCTCATTTATGCGGGAAATGACTACCAGGGCCCTGGAGGCCTGCTGGATTACATCGATAAAGAGATAATTCCAGATTTCCTGAGCGGGGAGTGCATGGTACGTATTGGGCAAGCACCCATGCCAGGGCCAAACACTTGTTTGCACTGAAGGTTTTCTGAACTGGGTGGCTGCTGGTTTTGCTTTGTTGACTAGACTAGGCCGCTGAGGAGTCTGTTGCTGACGTGGTACATTAACACTCAGGAGCGTGTTACAGGGTCCGATGCCCTGCAGCTGCCTTTATTCACGCAGCCTGTGTAAAACACATCTTGACTCTTCAGAGAAGCTGTGCGTGTTTCAGAACTACATTTTTTTTTTTTTACTTATCTCTGTGTGATGTGAGCATGTAGGCCCGAGATTGACTCAGTTGGTCTCCCGTCTTGTTAACTGAGGCAGGGCCTCTCATTTGAACCCAGGACGCACTAATCAGGTGAGTCTGTCTAGCCAGCATGCTCCAGGGTCGGTCCCTCCCTCCCACCTCTCAGGAAGTGGAGTCCCAGCAGGCCGCTCAGCCCTCTCAGCATTCACAGAGGCGCTGGGCATCCAGACTCGGTCCTCAGTGCATGACAACCGCCTCACCTGTTGGGCCGTCTGCTCGGCCTTAAAACACCTGTGAGATGGAGAATCAACTCCCAAGACTGTTTCTCCTTTCCTTAAGTAAACCCACATAATACTCAAAGTTGAAAATAGAGGAATTGCTTCTGTCCTTTGTAGGTTGGGGTGTTATGGCGTGAGGTGTGGATAGTTAAGCAGACACTGCTGGCCCGCCCTGTGCTGGGTGCAGGAGTTTGATGCCAGAACATGGAGGTTGCGCCCAGAAGCCTGACGTGAGGGTTCAGGGAACAGAAGCCACAGAGACAAATGCCTGGCTCCATGACACACAGTAGCAATGGAAGCAGCAGGGGTCAAGTTCTTAGCAGGCTCTTGTCATACTTGACCCCGATGGGGGTCTTCTGAGGTGTGTATCCTGGAATTGTCTGGCTGTGAAGAGTTGAGCTTTCAGTGTGGTTTCTCCAAATGGCCGGAGGAATTTAGGAAACAGAAGGGCTGAGCTTTGGCTTCATGAGGGAGATTGATGGTGTCATCGCAGTACAAAGAGCATGTAGTTGCGACCAGAGTGATCCCAAGCAAGGTTAAAGCATGGGCCAGGCTGTGGTAGCCATGACTGTTGTCAGGACAAGAATTGAGTTGGGGCAGAAGGCTCAGCGCCCTAACGTCAGTATTTACTGGTGTTGTGATGTGCTCAGAGTCAGGCTAAGGCCTCTCGAGGCCCGCTCTCAACTCTCCACAGTGGCTCCTCAGGCTGCCTGTCAAGAGTCGTTCATGAATTCTCTTGACTTCCCTGTGGGCAGGGGTATTGAACCTTGGGCCAGGCTAGTGTGTGTTTGTTTTCCTTGAGACACAGTCTCATTATGTAGCTACGCTGGCCCTGAACTCACGGTCCTCCTGTCTCCACACCCTCAGTGCTGCAGAGCAGCACTGTCCACACCACCGTCTGTGACCTTGGGTGACTGCAGGGACCTCCCTGCTGCTGCTGTGCTACAGGCTGAGAGCTGCAGTTTTGCTCTCTGTGGAGTTACTTCCGGGTTGATCATCTCGGGAGCGCTGAGATTTCATGCACTTGTATACGAGTTTGCTCTATTAAGGTCAGCTAGAGAATCTACAGTGAGAATAGCTTCAGAGTCAGCTCAGCTTTTTCAAGTCAGTTCAGGTAATAGTCTTTTGTCAAGTTTTGGCTGATTCATTATTGTTTGACCAAGGTTACATAGGGAGCTTGCTTTAGCGTATCTTGGTTTCCTTCCTTCCCTTTTGTGGTGCTGAGGATGAACCCCGGAGCCTGGTGTGCATTAGGCTGTGCCGCTGGGCTGTGCCCCGAGTGACTGGTTTCTGTGGGTGGCTGTTGGGAATGGATCTCTGCTCAACTGATCGCGCTTCCTTTCCAGGGCGCTGTAAAGTCTAATACTCGAGTTCCGTCCCTCACGCATGTTAGTGTGAATCCCGTGCTAAACCAGCTGCAGCTAGTTCTCATTTATCCAAAGTAAAAACACTTGGATCTAAGTGGGCTGCACAGATATTTTGCTAAGTACTACAGAGTATTTGATAACGTTGCCAGTGTCCTCCATTAACCCAGCTGCCCCAGGAGGTGGGCATGTGGGATGAGGGGCTTCCTGGCCTCTACACGTCTCTCACTGCCATGTTTTCCTTTCTAGTGTGATGTACCAGAGGGTGGACTGGTCCCCAAATCTCTGTACAGGACTGCAGAGGAGCTGGAAAATGAGGACCCGAAGCTCTGGACAGAGACCATCTACCAGTCTGCCAGCGTGTTCAAAGGAGCCCCGCATGAGGTGCCCGCGCTAGGCTTCTCCCACCTACCACCAGACAGGCAGCACTTCCCTTAGGGTCCTTGGCTCCTTCGTCTGGTCTTGGCTTTAGGTTTTGTTGGCACTGGTGTTGGGAAATGGCGGCACTGAAGGGCAGAGCTGCCTCGGGATGCTGCTGTCTGACCAGAGTGAACCTTGAAAGCTCATTAGCCCATCGACTGCCACTTCCCTGAGATCCTCAACCCCGTGCAGAACAGGTCTTGCCTGGGGAGGGCTGTTTCCAGCTCCTGGATTTGGTTTGATGGTTTCATGGGACAAGTTTTGCTCGATAGTTTTTCTTGATTGGGTTCTGGTCATTTGTCTTTCTTGCAGTCTTTGCTGGCTTTTGTTGCTCTGAAGGGACTGTCAGGAATGAGAAATGAGCACATCTTCTTTCCCTTCTTTCCAGCATGGGGTGTGGTGGCAAGGGGAGAAGCAGCAAAGCTCCTGTTTGGCAAGCCCTCCCCCGTCCCTGTGGCGTGAGCGTGGCTCCCCTGTCCCTGTGGTGGAGCATGGCTCCCCCGTCCCTGTGGCGTGAGCGTGGCTCCCCCGTCCCTGTGGCGTGAGCGTGGCTCCCCCGTCCCTGTGGTGGAGCATGGCTCCCCCGTCCCTGTGGTGTGAGCATGGCTGGCCCACCCTCTGCTTAGCTCTAGGCACGCATGTTGCTGTGTTCTTGGTGGGAGGCAGCACTTATACAGAACAGACCCCTCCGTCCATGGAGTGCTGGCTCCACGGATGGCTTTCTGCTGCGGCAAGCCTCTGTTCAGCTGCCAGGTGCTGTCCAGACAGCTGACCACTAGATACGTAGAGGCACGCTGAGTGAGCCTGGGGCTGTGCTGTGAACGAGCAGGCACAAATCCAGTGTGCTCCCCTCCCTCATGATCCCATGCAGGGGACCTTGGATGTTTGGCTGTCCCAGGAATCATTTGCCTTCATCTCTCATGTGGTGGGCAGGCTGGGGTGGATGAGCTGTTTACCAGGCAGCTGTCAGTCTTGTCTTTGTTGCAAGGCTCAGGGACTCACTGTGGCTTGAGTCGCATAGCACCTGTCAGTGTTGACAGTAAAAGCTCCATTCTGCCTCGGGGTGTAAAGAAAGCACACATCAAAGAATACTGCTTAGAGTGTCACCATTGCCGGTCGGCACAGGGCCCACGGTCTCTTGAAAGAGTGCTCTTGGCAGCTACTTTGATGAAGAGAATATGCTGCACCTTTTAGTGCAGCCTCTGCTGTGACTGGGGCCCTGTGCCTTCAGAGGGTCATGGACGGGTTGGAGGAGCAAGGCAGCAGACTGCATGGCTGCTTCTGCTTTGTAGCCTCACACCTTCCTCCCAGACCTGCCTCTTCCCTCTGGGACTTCAGATGAAGGATAGATGTCAGGCTTGGGATTGGCACTCTGTACCGACGGCAGTCACCCCCAGAGCACATCTGATCTCTCCACCCCCTTGCATGCCTTGCGCAAGCATGAGGCTCTACCAGCGCATCCTTCTGTCCATGCACCTCTCTTCTGTAGGGCCTCTGCCATGTCTCCCTAGCTTGAGGCAGTTCACGGAATCCCACGTCCGTGCTCATGAGTGTCCCTAAGCTGTGTCGGAAGATGAGGAGTGGGACTCTTCAGAGTCCACATGGAACTAGCCATTTGCCTCATGGGTAACACATAGTTGGAACTAGAGAGAGCAGTGGGTAGGCTGGTGGTGGGCATCTGGATGCCTGAGTGCCCTGAGGCAAAGAGAACTGCCCACTTGATCTGTCCTGCCCCTTTGCCAGCTCACATATCTGAGCCATAGAGCCAGTCCCTAGAGCCATTCCTGCTCCAGCTGAGGCCAGGCCTCGTGCTGTGGATTGGTGACTGATGGGATCTCTTTCTCCAGATTCTCATTCAGATTGTGGACGCCGCCTCAGTGATCACCTGGGATTTTGACGTGTGCAAAGGGGACATTGTTTTTAATATTTTTCACTCCAAGAGGTCTCCCCAGCCACCCAAGAAGGACGCGCTGGGGGCCCACAGCATCACCTCTCCGGGTGGGAACAACGTGCAGCTCATAGACAAAGTGTGGCAGCTGGGCCGGGACTACAGCACGGTGGAGTCACCGCTGATCTGCAAAGAAGGAGAGAGTGTGCAGGTGAGCTGCCATCTGCCGCCCTGCGTCACTGTCCGCACAGGTGGGCCTGCTCAGTCAGACCCCGTAAGGTGCCCGGGCACAGTGGTGGAAGGTCTGAGACCAGAGCAGAACCTACTGAAATAAGTGGATTTCCCAGGACTGTCTGCACCCAGGTGCCACGAGAAACTCAGGAAAGAAATACTTTGTAGGCACACATCCGGGTCTCAGTGACCTCACTGAGTGGTGGCATGGCTTTGCCTCAGAGGAAGAGACCAGGCAGGAGCAAGAGGAGCACGTGTGAGGCCACTGCAGCTCTCGCTAGGACACACGACAGCTCTGTACCGTGCTGGGCTGGTTCCTGTTGTCCCTGGCAGGCCTCTCCCTGCTGGGTCCCACAGCGCCTCTGGCAGTAAATGCCTGCCTTCCTCCCACACTCCCACAATGCCTCTGCCCCACACCTGCCTGCTTTCCATCCCAGTATCCCTGTATGGTTTGCAAATGCAAGCTGCCTGCACATCCGTGGTCTTGAGGTAGCTTGGAAGGGAATCCTCCCCCATCTTCAAGTAGTGAGCCTTTGAAGCTGGCTCTCCTGAGTCTCCATCAGATGGAAGGAGTCACTGGAACAGACTGCTGGGGTGTGACAGGAGTGTGGCCTTGACATCTCTGTCCAAAGCACAGGCCCACCTGACAGCCACCGCCCTGCCAAGCACCTGCTGCCTAGTGGTCTCAAGAGGTTGCAGGTAGCTGAGGGTAGCAAACATGTTGTGTGCTGCCTTCCCAGCACCTGGCAAAGGCCTCAGCACAGGCTGCATCTAGTAGGTAGAAGGACGTTGCCAGGCTGTTTCCTGATGGCGAGCTCTCGGGACACCCTCCCCTTGAAGCTTGTCAGACCTGTTTGAAGGTTGGCAGGATGTCCTGAGCTCCCCTGCTCTCTGCTGCAGGGCTCCCATGTGACCAGGTGGCCGGGCTTCTACATCCTGCAGTGGAAGTTCCACAGCATGCCCGCGTGTTCCGCCACCAACCTCCCCCGAGTGGACGACGTGCTGGCCTCCCTGCAGGTCTCCTCCCACAAGTGCAAAGTGATGTACTACACAGAAGTGATCGGGTCCGAGGATTTCAGGTGTGTGTGGGGGGGGGCTGCCTGGTCCCTGCCTGGACTCTGTGGGACTGTCGGAGAGGAGTGCAGCCTGGTGTTTGCTGAGGGCAGTGGCATCTGTGGACAAACCACAAGGCGTGCATTCCTCCCGTGGGACACTCATGCCCCATCCCTACTTGGCAGGTGCTAGTGCGGAAAAGCAGATAGAGATGAGCCGGGGTCCAGCAGGCATTGTGGGCGTCTGGGTGGCTCAGGGCATTTCCTCACTCCTTGTTCTTTCTTGGTTTCTTTGCAGAGGCTCCATGACCAGCCTGGAGTCCAGCCACAGTGGGTTCTCACAGCTGAGTGCCGCCACCACCTCCTCCAGCCAATCACACTCCAGCTCCATGATTTCCAGGTAGTGCTGCGAAGCCAGTGCCTAGTGCGGAGGGACGGAGGACGCCTCGGCCTCCTCGGCTGCTGTGCTCCACCCACCCCAGGATGCGCAGACTCCTCACCCTCTAGGTAGCAGCTAGCTCTCCAGATGGTATACTAGCACTTGGTCCCAGACTATCGTGGCAGGTAGCTTTAACTCTACCCTAAGTTTAACTCAGTAGCCATAGATTTTGTATGCAGCGTGCACAAAATCAAACCAGAGCACAAGGGCTCTCGAGAGAAAAGTAGTTTATCTACAGTAAGAGACTGACTGGTCTCACATGTCGATGCAAAACGTTTTTCCAACAAACTCCACCTTGTCCACTAGCGAATGACTTGTATGACATCCTGCAGAGACGAGCCGCCTCCTCCACGGAACTGAAGCTGCAGCAGGCAGCCCTCGTGGCTCCCTGTTAGTGGAGGTGGCCTGTGGATTCAGGACAGCCCTTGAGGTCCCTTTCCTCTGAGGACTCGGCAGCCTACAGGAGCACCCGGTCCTGGGGTGGAGCCAGCCCACTCCTAAGCAGACACGCTGCCCAGGAGGGGCTCTCGGGCTCCCCACGACTCCCGACAACACCGCCATCATTAAACATTGCTTTCTCTTTCCTCCTCTTCAAATCTTTTGATATTTTTCAGAGCAAAATTTTTCTGTCCATGAACTTGGGGAAGGGGAGGGTTCTATTCTCCGCTGAATGCTGTTTTTCCTCCCGCAGGTGGGCAGCTCTATGCCCGCCAGCACCTAGGGTCCTCAGCCCTCAGCACCCAGGATCCCCAGTCCTTAGCACCAACCCAGTGTCTTCAGCCCTCAGCACCCAGGGCCTTCAGCCCTCAGCACCCAGGGTCCTCAGCCCTCAGGACCCAGGGTCCTCAGCACTCAGCACCCAGGGTCCCCACCCCCATAGCTCCCAGGATCCTCAGCTCTCAGCGGGTGTTGGAAGTAGTGGGTGACACTTCCTTCTGGAAGTGTGGCAGAAGAGACTCCAAGAATGTTCTCCAGGGTGGCGCATGGCTTGTAGTGGCCTTGGGCGTGTGATGGATGTTGGGGTGTGTGCAGGTGCCGTTTGTGTGCATGAGGGACAGGGGGGTGGGGTGGGGGAGCATGGTGGGACTTAATTTGTTTTATCAGCATTTTATAGAAGCCGACCAGAGGCTGGCTGGCTTTGTCTTTTTCTTTCTGATCCCCACTTCCCAAAGCCTGCTGTCTGAGCAGGCCCTGACTTCACAGCTTTTATGGGAAAGCTTACTGCTTACAGAGCTGTCTGGAAGTTGCAGGTGGCTGATCTCCATGAGAAGGGCCTGGGATCTCTCTGTGTGTGTGTGTGTGTGTGTGTGTGTGTAAACGTGTCTAAAGATGGGTGCCAAACCCACAGGGCCGTGAATGTGTACGACAAGTGTGGAATCATGTGTTGATGCCGCTCGGAGGCATAGATGGATGTCTGTGAGCTTTGTAGAGGCTGTGGCATGTCAGCAAGCATGAGGAGAGTCTCCACAGCAGCCTGGCTTGGCCAGTGAGCCTGCTGGCTCCCGGCACTCGTGTTGCTGGCCTCTGTGGCCCTTCGCCATGCATTCCCTGTGCATGAGGCAGCCATTCCTAGACAGCATAGTAGGGCTATCGTTACTGCGTCCATGCTGCTCCAATTAGGGCTTCCTAGCTCCAGTTAAAGGACCTGAAGATGGCCCTGCTCTCTCTCTCTCTCTCTCCTGTCTCCCTCTCCCTTTCCCTCTCTCTCTGTGTCTCAGATGGCGATTTTGCTGACAGCCTCCAAGAAAACGCTTCACGCGACAGTCCACATGTGCCCAGAGATGCTTGTGGGACTGTTTGAGTCGCAGCCATGTCTCAGGCTGAAGATCTGTCCCCTTAGTCCCTTCAGAAGTGGCCCTGCTCAGTGCCTCAGAACTGAGCTGAGCGCATGACCACACTCACAGGCTCTAGCCGCCCAGGCCACAGGGCACTGCTGCCTTGGGAGGGTGACTGGGTGTGATGTGTGCCGTGCAGAGCCTCTTCTCACAGTGCCCGGCACGTGTCCTGAAATGCTGCTGTCTCGCCCTCCCACCCAGTCCAGCTCTCTGGGTTCTCCGTCTGTTACTAGTGTCTTAATTCTCTCTCCTTCCTGAACCCATTATTTGCATATCAGATTCTGTAAATGTTTTATAAACATATTACCTCACTCTTGGTAATACAATATTGATAGTCTTTAAAAGATTTTTTATTGTTACAGTAATAAATGTGAACTGTTTAAGAGGAGCGTCCTTTTCTTCTTGGAAGTCTTTGCAGGGTATTAAGATTGGGGCGAGAAGAGGCTTGCTGATGCCCACAGGCAAGGGAGGCCAAGCTGCTGAGTGGATGCTGCAGTCACTCTGTGCCCCTCGAGGTCCTGCTGTGCCCTTTGCAGTTCAGCGTATCAGATGTGACTGGCACAGCCTGGCTCCCTCTGTCCTCACACTTGCTAGTGGCAAATGGATTTCTCGGGGCAGGACCTGGGGAGGCCTGGGTGACCTCATCCTTACTCTCCTGTCTCAGAGGTCTGCAGAGGCAGCAGAGCACACACAGCTCGGGAGATCATCACAGGCATGCCAGGGTGAAAACTGGAACCTCCCCAAAGGGAGGGCGAGTTCTGGCCTACTTGGGTCCTTCTACATGGGATACAAGGCAGGAGGCTTCCAAGTGTGGTTCATAGCCTGGCATGGGGGTCCTGCTGGGGAATGATTTCCCTGGGCAGTCAGGCTGGGCAGTGCCCTGATAATCCAACCCTCCTGGCTGAACTTACAACCCGAGGTTTCCATGGTTGCTCAAGGCAAACCTGTCTCTCCTAGCCTTGGCTCCAGGCTCACGTTCTTGGGGGAAATGAGACGACCCAAGGATAAGCAGGACTTCCAGGTGTCTGGCACAGGTCTTACCTGTACAGGTAGGACCACCCTCAAGTGGCATGCCCCTGTCTCTAGGGGAGACATTCATGTCGTGAAGCAAGCCAGCTGAACCCGGCTCTGCTTGGAGTAAGGGCTTTGGCGAGACGGCTCTGGTGCAGTTGTGAGCTCCATTGTAAGGGAAGAATGGACTCCCTCAGGCTGTCCCTGACCTCCATGTATGTGCTGTGTCATGCGTGCGCCCACACACAGCACATACAAATGTCATTTTGAAAACTGAAAACAGGATTTTGAGAGCAAGGCATTCTGGGAAGACAGAAACGGTGTTCCCACATAAATACAGTGAAGGTAAAACCTACAGCTGGCGGAGAACTAACCCTATGCTCCAAATGCTAGAACGACGGGTGTTTTTGTTTTTGTCTTTTTGTTTTACTTTCCCACACTAGTAGCTCCTGTGACTATCACTCTGCCACAAAACTGTATAGTAAGGTATGCTAGAATGCCCAAAACAACCGTGTCACGGGCAGATCACTAGTCACGAGACTCCCCTGCACTCAGGAGAAAGCAGAGGCAGATGCTGTAACAGGAATGTCTCTGTAGCCCGGGGTCTTGCTGGACAGGTCCGGGGGCAGCAGCGGACTGGCCTACCTGGCCTGTTGTCCACTGAACAGCCAGGGGTGTGGGTGGCTGCGAGGTAGCTCTAGGAGCAGATGGGCCTACTGTTGTGAACTCCACCAAAACAGCAAGAAAGGGATCCGTGTGAACTGTGAGCGCCTAGAACACCCACATAAAAACAGGCGTCAGAAGGCACCCGCCAACCCCGTCCACCAAGCAGACGACCCCACATTAAAAACTGAACCCTAAACAAGGTGATGGCACACACCTTTAATCCCAGCACTTGGGAGGCCGAGGTGCGTGGATCTCTGAGTTCAAGGCCAGCCTGGTCTACAAAGCAAATTCCAGGAAAGCCAGGGCTGCACAGTGAAAACTCTGTCTTGAAAAAATGAACAAAAACCCCAAACAAACAAAACCATTGAATTTTAGGCCTGGGATGTGGGTTGGCTCAAGGAGTGCTGGCCTAGCCTGTTGGAAGCCCTGGCTTCCATCCATGGCACCAGATGGAACAGGTGAGGTGGTACTTGCCTGTGATCTCAGCACTGGGGACTAGGAGGGCTCAAGGTCTTTCTTGGTTACATTGAGAGTTAAGAGGCAGCCCTGGCTACAGAAGACCTTGACTCGAGAAATAGCACACACCAAATTGTTTTTTTCCTTCCTCCTTCCTTCCTCTTCCTCCCTCCTTCCCCTCCCTCCCTCCCTTCCTCCTCCGTCCCTCCCTCCCTCCCTCCCTTCCTCCTCCGTCCCTCCCTCCCTCCCTCCCTTCCTTCCTCTTTCTTCCTCCTTCCTTCCTCCCTCCCTCCCCTTCCTTCCTCCTTTCCTTCTTTCTTCCTTTTTTTTAAACAGCCAAACACACAAACCAGGAAAGGAAGGAAACCTCTCCTTCTTGCTAGAGGACTGTAGTGATATTTCATTTGTAATTTTAGTAAATAAAGCTTGCCTGAAGATCAAAGAGTAAAACAGTCTCACTGGTCAGCTTTACAGACCAGGCAGTGGTGACACACGCCTTTAATCTTAGTAGCCGCACTACTTTGCCATAGAAACCGGGAGATGGTGGTGCACACCTTTAATCCCAACCCTCGAGAGGAATATAAAACAGGAGGAGTCAGCTCTCACACGAAGTCTCATTCTGAGGTTTCCTGGAGGCAGAATCACCATTTCAGACTGAGATAGAGGTAAGAGCCAGTGGCTGACTGTTGCTTTTCTGTCCTTCAGGTTGACCCCCAATATCTGTCTCTGGGTTTTTATTAATTGTGCTACAGAGGACATTACAGTGAATAGCACATTTTTCTAAAGCTTTATTTATTTATTATGTATACAGTGTTCTGCCTGCATGTCTGCCTACAGATCTCATTATAAATTGATCTCAGAACCTCTGGAAGAACAGCCAGTGCTCTTAACCACTGAGCCATCTCTCCAGCCCCTTGTTTTTCAAGACAGGGTTTCTCTGGAACTCTGTAGACCAGGCTGGCCTTGAACTTAGAGATCTACCTGCCTCTCCTCTTGAGTGCTGAGATTAAAGGCATGCGCCATCACACGTGGCTCTCCCTCGCCACCCCCACCCCCACTTAAAAAAATGAACTAGAGGGCTGGAGAGATGGCTCAGCGGTTAAGAGCACTGACTGCTCTTCCAGAGGATCCGGGTTCAATTCCCAGCACCCACATGGCAGCTCACAACTGTCTGAAGATCCAGTTCCAGGGGATCTGACACCTTCACACCAGTGCACATAAAATAAAAGTAAATAAACAATAAGAAATATTTTTAAGCTGGGCGATGGTGGCGCACGCCTTTAATCCCAGCACTCAGGAGGCAGAGGCGGGCAGATCTCTGTGAGTTCGAGACCAGCCTGGTCTACAGAGCTAGTTCCAGGACAGGCTCCAAAGCCACAGAGAAACCCTGTCTCGAAAAACCCAAAAAAAAAAAAAAAAAGAAAGAAAGAAAGAAAGAAAGAAAGAAAGAAAGAAAGAAATATTTTTAAAAAATGAACTAGAACATGAGGGATTGAGATAATCAGTAAATGAAAATACGAGGAGCTCAGAAGTGGGATATGAGACACTGGAAATGAAGTTATTTCACGCTGAGACACTTAACTCGCCAGGAGCACATGGTGAGGAAAAACAGATAATCCCAAGCGAAGAGTGATTGATAGCTGAGAAGATGGAAGTGGGGGTGGGGATGGAGCCAGGACCTCAACCGAAGTCAAGAAATACTTCCCGGAAAGTACAGGATGAAGAATATCCTTGGAGGGCCGTCGAGAAAACTCAGCAGACAAGGGCTTGTCACCAAGCCTGAGTTCCATCCCCAGAAGGAGACATCAACTCCTGACCTCCACACGTACTCTGTTACACATATGTAGGCACCTACACACATACACACACACACTTTAAATATTAACAAAAGACCTTGGTACACGTGGGTGGGAGCTTGGTGTTTTTGAGGGCTGAACTTAGGCCAGGAGCCAATGAAAGACAATTTCTCAAGGAAAGAGAGAACTGCACACTTTATGGCCAGCACGCTGACTTTGGTAGCTGAAGGCCCTGGGGAAGCAGGCCACGGGCCTGACTGGGGAATCCTGCACCCAGGGCCTTTCCAGGGCTCTGGAGAAGCTGCTGGTGTCTCCTTGGAGCACTGAATGGCTAGAGAAGTGGGTGGGATGCTTGGTGGCAGGTGTGTCCCACAACAGCCTTTTAGAATGCGGGCGGGGTGTGTGTGTGTGTGTGTGTGTGTGTGTGTGCGCGCGCGCGCGCAAATACTGTGTTTAGTAATGTTCTGAGCTTCTGTGATGTCCTGATTAGATAATAAGGCAACCACAGGAAAACCTCTAATGTTTTGGGATAGGGTCTGGTTCTAACCTGGGCTGGCCTGGAACTCAGCATGTGAACCAAGCTTTAAGCTCACAGCAATCCTCCTGCCTCAGCCTCCCGAGTTGCTCAGCTAATGATGGGCTATTTTAAAGTCAGGTTCCCTCTGCTCTTAGCACAGTTTTCAATGTGGAGGCACAGCAGGGAGAGGCTAGCTAAGGGCTCTCTAGGCACTATGTGCACTAGACAGTTAAGAGGGAGTCATGGGCTGTGGGGCAGGGAGTTCTTGTAAGTCAAATAGACTTACCAACGGTTTAACAAATGGCCCAGACTGGATTGTTTCATCTACACACACACACACACACAAACAAAACAAAACCCCACCACTTTAAAACAGGAAGAAGGGGCTGGGCGTGTGGCTTGGTGGGCAGAGCTTGCCTAGCGTGAAGGAAGCTCTGGGTTTCGTCCCCAGCACCACTAAAGCCATGTATGATTCATAGTCCCAGCTCTTGGAAGTCAGGCAGGAGGGTCACAAGATCAGGGTCATCTCCTCTATGAATCTAGTTTGAGGCCAGCCTGGGCCATGTGAGACCCTGTCTTCTTAAAAACAACCAAAACCCACAAAGTGGCCGCCTATGGTAACCAGGACAAGTGCTTCCCTCCAGCCCCCACTGTGACTGGCACAAGGTGGATCAGGCACACCGCGTCTTGTCTCTTCAACGATGCAGAGCTTATTTCCTTCCTTACCTTATAGCGAGGGTGGGTTTCTCGTGCCTGTTTCGTGTGAGCTTTGGACAGGTCAGTGTGTCTTGAAGGAGGAACACAGCTTTTCTCTTCTCCCAGTCACGCGATCGAGGTTTTATGGACAGGAGCTGCTCTGAAGCAACCCACTCTGGCCCCAGCACACGTCCCAACCATGCCGAGGACAGCAGTGCAGGGCAGGAGCTGGGGTGGAGGCAGCGA